CCCGCGGAGCCCCCCAAGCCCAAGCCCGCGCCAGCCCCACGGAGCACCACACACGCGAGCCCGCACAACCCCACGGAGCACCACACACGCGAGCCCGCACAACCCCACGGAGCACCACACACGCGAGCCCGCACAACCCCACGGAGCACCACACACGCGAGCCCGCACAACCCCACGGAGCACCACACACGCGAGCCCGCACAACCCCACGGAGCACCACACACGCGAGCCCGCACAACCCCACGGAGCACCACACACGCGAGCCCGCACAACCCCACGGAGCACCACACACGCAAGCCCGCGGCAGCCCCACGGAGCACCACACGCGCAAGCCTGCGGTAGCCCCATAAAATACTGTGCATGCGAGCAGCAGCGACCCCACGGAGTACCGCATACACGAGCCCGCAGAGGAGTCAAAGAGGCTGCACTGCGTACGAGTGAGGTGAGAGCATGGAAGCAGGGCAGAGATCTTCCATTTATTTTTAAATATTTTGCTGGTTGTAGGGCAGGTGTGCTCTCTGCAGACAGAGAGAAAGTGAGAAATTGCTCCCAGTGCCTCCTCCACCTCCCCTTGGGGTTCTGGCACGCGCGCACATGTGCCCAGTGCACACCTCAAGCCGCTGGGTCTGGGATTCTACCTGCAGTCAGCACCTTAACTTCCAGGCTACCTGCTGGCCTCAAATACACCTTTTTTCAATTAAAAAAAATTTAAATTATTTTTTAATTAGACCAGAGAGACAGGAAGTGAGAAAGCAGGCAGTCAGGTCTGGGACTTGGACTGGCCAGCCACGTAAGAGCCCAATGCCGTAATCACCAGGCCACCTGCCGGCCCCACACAGACCTTTTAAAGGACTTTTCATAATATACTTCAGCTGAATTAAAATTAAATTAAAACAAAGTTAAATTAAAAAAATTTTATCTGTTAACAGTTTGAATCTGCAGCACACTTTGGAAAACGGTCGGGGAACCTGCTGCAAGGTTCTGGAAGCCACTCAGCCTCTCTGTGGCTCAGTCCCTCCACTGTCTACGCATCATTCACTCCCAAGGGCTCCCAGGAACCACAGGACGGGCTTTACGCCGACCCTTCTCTTCACTGCATGTTTTACCACACTCTACAGCCGTTCATAGGAAAGTCCCCGAAAGACAGAACTAGAAAACGTTACGGAAAACGTTCTATTACACTTGTGATCCTAGAGAAAAGAAAGATCACAATTATTGAACTTAAAATGCCTGGATTTTCTTTCCGCTAGAGGACAGGTGATGGGATTATGGTAGGAATTTCAGCTTCTTAGAAAGAAACCCCCCCCGGGAACCAGCAGTTAGCGTAATGGCTATGTTGCTGGACTCCCACGTAGTCGACCGTGGTTCGCGTCCCAGACCCGGTGGCTTAAAACTCATGCCGGGCGCATGTGTGTGCGTGCCCAAGATCCCGAGAGGAGAATGGAGGAGAAGGGATTGCGGCGTGACCATCCCCCCTGGGGGGTGATTTCTCGCTTTCTGTC